TTTTAATTAATGACAATTAATTCTATTCATCCCAATTCTATTGATTCTTCAATTATGAATTGTGAGAAGTTTGATTAGGGATTTGGGATTGATGAAGGGGTTGGTCATGATGTATGGCTAGATTCTTGATGGATTAATTGCATGAATGCCGTTTAATTTGTGTTTGAATACTTTAACTGATAGAACCGCGGCTAGAATTACAATTGTTTGTAGAATAAATTAAGAGAGATCTAGTTTATTCTATGACACATTCACACACACTTAATCGTTCGCTAAGATATTAGTAGCGATTAAGGGGCCCTAAGCTCGCTCGTCTTGGCAATAATTTAGGATCCTGTCGCATGAGAAATAAGCTTGGTCCCCTAAATTATTGTACTCTACGCCGCGAGAGCGGTAAGAACTTAGTAATGATTAGCTAGGCTCAGTTAAATCAATTTCATGTAATTAGGTCTGATCTGCCAGAAATTTGGTTACCCCGGAATCAATCCCTGTTCCCTTCGTCGTTAATTAGAGAGAAACCAACCTTTTATTTTAATCGCTCATTCGCATTAGTTAATTTTCATACCAATCATATCTCGCACGACACATTTATTTTATTTCTTTTTAATCGCTGAATTTAATTAATTATTGATTCCCTTTTGTCCGTCCATGTGGAGACGTTACTCGTACTTACACCACTATATTACGATCTACTTTAAGTGCAGGAAAACTCACATCAGATATTCATTTAGTGGAAATCCATCTAAAATAGGTTGGGACTGGATGTATGAGGATTACACCACCTCTGAACCAGGATATATTTTGTGTCACCTTTTACATTCTGCTCCTAACACAAATTCAGTACTCACTCCCCTTCACAACTACACAGCAAAACAGTTTGCTCACTAAAACTGTCCAGTGAACTTTCCCAGTCCACTGTGAGTCATCTCCTTATTATCTGTTTTTCAAAGTGACCTATTTCCATTGGTCTAAATCCTTCATACTCATGTGTTAGACTAGTTCTAAAGCCAGTTAATGCGTTAGACTATAGTTCATTGCTACACCTTAACTAAAGTAAGCATAAACATCATTTCAGCAGTCTGCTCCTAAGGGTTTGGCAATCTGCTCCCAAACTGACTGGCAGCCATCTCCTTCAGGTTTCCGGCAGCCTGCTTCTTGAGTCAACTGCTTCTGGCAAACACGTTTGTAACATGTTTTACCGATTTCTCTTACAACTAAAAGGGTCATAACCTTTGTTTCTATAAAGTGTCATCCTCTTGAGGTCAAGACTTCCGTTGCATGTTTCAATGTCTCTCAAAAGATATTGGAACATATCCAGTTAGAGGAAAAGGGGCTGAAAATAAAAAATATTTAAAAGTCTATTCACCCCCTCTAGACTTTTACTGTTTTACCTCACCTGGACTCATTTGGTATCTAGGGCACTCATCATACTAGATGTGTATAAAAATATGAAAATCAATTAGATAAATTTTAATAAATATCAAAATAGTAAACTAAATGCATACATCTAACTTGTATTCTAATTCTAATGCAACTTTCAATTAAAACTAACAAATAATCGACAACAAGTCAACAAAAAATAATGTTACTACAATTGCTAATTCCGAAAAATGACATATTATGGTAGAGACTTGAGAGATTTAGATAATAAATTATAAATTAATTAATAAAAATAACTAGATACGAAAATGAGAGAAATTTTATGAAGGGTAAAACATATATGGAGTATATGAATACCTGTAAATGTTGGGGCCCAAAATTTTCTAATATTTCAAGGCCCTGAGTCAATGGCCTCACTGGTCTTAAAGTAGGCACGACCCTGCTTATACTTGCAACAATCCCTCGGTGAATAAACCTGTTTAGTATAGTTATACTTCACCCTCTCACAAAACTTTGTCCTTCTGTTAGAATTGATAGACCCGCGTTGATCCCACAGTTTTGGGATCCGGTCCCCTGGTGGAACCTAGTATCCATGAAAGCCTCCTTGCGCCGGTTGAGACGATAGAGATTAAAAATGCTCTATTTGACATCGGCAATGACAAGGTACCGGGACCGGATGGTTATTCATCTGCATTTTTAAAGGCTAATTGGGTACTTATTGGGCATGACATAGTCCAGGCCATCAAAGAGTTCTTTCGTTCGGGGAAGTTACTAAAGCAATTAAACCACACGGTTATTGCGCTTATTCCTAAAACGAATCACTCACCGAAGGTCTCGGACTATAGACCAATCTCATGTACGAATGTGGTGTATAAAATTATCACTAAAATCCTTGCGGCTAGACTCACCCCATGCCTTCCAGGCTTGATTGACCTAGCCCAAGGTGCTTTTGTTGACGGCCGCCTCATGTTTGATAAAATTTTTCTTGCCCAAGAACTTGTTAGAGGATACATGGGGAAGCGGATCTCACCTAGATGCATGATCAAGGTGGATTTGCGTAAGGCCTACGATACAATTTCTTGGAGCTTTCTTGATAATGTCTTAAGGGGTTTGGGCTTCCCATTGAGATTTATTGGATGGATTATGGAGTGCGTAACCACGGCTTCATTCTCCGTCTCCTTGAATGGTTCATTGTATGGTTTCTTTGAGGGTAAAAGGGGCATTCGGCAAGGAGATCCAATGTCTCCATTATTATTTGTCCTTTGTTTAGAATATTTTTCTCGACTTATTAATTTGAAAATCAAAGGGCCAAATTTTAATTTTCATCCCCAATGTGCAAAACTTTGATTGACACACTTGGCCTACGCAGATGACTTAATACTCTTCTCTCGAGGTGACACTTTTTCAATTGAAATACTTGTCAAAGCCCTTGAAGAATTTGGGGATGCATCGGGCCTTAAAGTGAATCATGATAAGTCAAACATTTTTGTAGGTGGAGTTAATGAAAATGATCTCCAGGAGATCATGGCCCTTGTGGACTTTAAGCGGGGCACATTCCCGGTTAAATACCTCGGAATTCCACTTGCACTTTTAAAGGTTTCCGTGGCGCAATATTCACCATTGCTTGATACAATTTCTAATTTTTTAAAGGCTTGGAACGTAAAGACTTCATCCTATGCCGGAAAACTAGAGTTGATAAGATCTGTGGTCCAAGGGGTACAATCTTTCTAGCTCCAAGTTTTCCCGGTCCCCCAAACTATCTTGGATAGGATAGTTTCGATTTGTCAAATTTTTCTTTGGGGTGGGAAATATTCTAAAGTAGCTTGGGACGACATTTGTCTCCCAAAAGAGGACGGGGGCCTTGGCATTCATAATGCCAAGATTTGGAATCATGCTCTCCTCTCTTGAACACTTTGGGATGTCCATAGGAAGAAAGACACCCTCTGGGTGAGGTGGGTCAACGGGGTTTACCTCAATGGTAGGAGTGTGTGGGATTTTATCCCACACAATCGTGACTCATTGTTCATGAAGAAATTGAGTCACATCCGGGATCAAGTTTTGGGATGCTTTAACAATTTGAATGATACCATTATGGGCCTAAATAGTAGATCAAAAAATGGTAAACTCCTTTCCGGAAAGATCTATGAATTGTTGAGAATTAAAGGGACGCCAAGAGTGTGGATGAGCTTAATTTGGAAGTCTTATATCCCTTCGAAGTTTTCATTCAATGTCTGGCTTGCTATGAGGAACCGGTTACCTACACAGGATAACCTCGGTTACCTACATATTGTTAATCGTTGTGACCTATGCAAGGGTGGATTGGAAACATTGTCACACCTATTTTTTCGTTGTCATTACACTTGTAGGGTCTGGGAAAAAATTAAGGAATGGTTGGGCATGACTCGAGAGATGACCACGCTCTGCAGCTCCGTCAAATGGATCTTGAAGGATCATAAAGGATCAAAGATCAAAGGGAAGGCTATCCGGATTGCGTTTGGTGTCACGATTTACTACCTTTGGCACGCTAGGAACGCCAACAGATTTGATGAAGGGGACGTCAAGGAAGAGGAAGTCATTGCAAAAATCAAGCATGTGGTGTATAAAATACTTTTCAATTTATACCCGCATGATTTGATTAATTTCTGAGTAGAAGACCGCGACATGGATATAATGGATGTCGCAGTTTGGATAGACCGCTACATGTTAGTTTGGTGCGCCGAGGCATGGATATTACGGGTGCCGCGGCTTGGACACTTGGTACACTGTGGCATGGACATCATGGATGCCGAGACATGAAGAATGGTCTTGGACTTTATGGTGTTTGATTTTGCAACACCTTTTGTACTTTATTTAGAACTTAGCCTCTGATCTGTGTGCGTGCATGGGCAACATCAATGTATTTTTTGAACCTCTTGATGGGCCAAGTATTATACTTGGTTATTTTGGCATAGCTTAGATCAAATAAAAACCTCCTTTCATCCTCACTTTATGTGGGAGTGGGGGAGGTTTTAGGAGATCTAGGATATGTGATGTATAGTTTTTCTGGGTATTAATATATATTTACATTTCATCCAAAAAAAAGAGATTATAAATAATGTCACTCCTGAATTGACATATTGTAAATGTCATCCTTGATAAATTTATTGATAATCTAGAATTGGAGATGAATTATAAACGATGGGGATGTCATTTACAACAAGTCTGTTAATTCAGGTGTGACATTTACAATCCCGCAAACACGGGTCTAACATTTCAATATGTTGACTAATTTAGGAATCAAAATGCGATTTTCCCAGGAATTTATTATTTTCATTTAAGTTAATAAATACATCAATACATACACAGTCTTGTTTATTATTTTACCTGTCAGTCAACTTTTGTCAAATAATATTGAATTAGTTCAATTTTGGTTGTGGGCGTTTTATGTCAATTTCACGTTTAGTTTATGTTTTTCACTTCATTCACTTTTGATACACTAATGTTTGTTGATCATTTATGGTCATTTATCGGTAATTTTAACCACAAATGACATAAATTGACATCAATTGAGTTGCGGGGCTCCTGTCATTGGAACGCTCAATAGCTGTATCGGCTAAGCCGCGGTATAAATGAAGGCAAGTGGATGTTCATGTTCCCCTCACGTCATTTAATAATCTACTCCTTAATGACCAAACATTTTCAATCTCCATATATCCTACTTAAAATATTTCAATATAGATTCCGTACCCACACCGACTCCTCAGTTCATGCAAAAAATATACCCGCAATTCTGTGCTGAAGAAAGAATAATAATCTGAAATCCAGCAAATAAATATGAATTATCGTCTTCTATTGCCCTTTGCTGCTTTTCTCGTGCCAGTGATATTGGGCATCACAATTTTCCAGCTCGACTCGTTCGACCCGGCGGCTTACCCGGCTGACCAGCTCAGCCGGAAAAAGCCGGTGTCGGCCCCGAGCCGCAACCGTCGCATGTTTCATGGCTCCGAGAAGATAGGAGTGGGGCGGGTGTGGGGCCCGGAGGACATCTTGTACGATCCCGAGACGGGAGTCATTTACACCGGGTGTATGGATGGGTGGGTCAAGAGGGTGACGGTCAACGAGTCTTCCGCCGCCGACTCGGTGGTGGAGGACTGGGTCAACACCGGCGGCAGGCCGCTTGGACTCGCGCATGGGCATCACGGCGAAGTCTTAGTTGCTGATGCTGATATTGTGAGTCTTACCTCATTCTTACCCAAAAAAGTTACTGACAAAGTCCCAACTCCCAAGTTAAGATTAGAGCACTCACAATGGGTGGTCAAGTAGGATCAAAATAACAAAGTGGTGGGAGTTGACCCCCACTATGGAAGGTTAGCATTTGATCGGGCAAGTCAAAGGTCAAAAATGAGTTCTGACAAATGCTGAGCAAGTGGCTTTTTTTGTTTGCAGAGTTGGTGTATTGAGTGGAGGAAGGGGAGATTTCTTTCTCCCACATTTGTAGCCACAAATCCCACCAACCTTTTAATTTAATATTTTATGAATTAAATTAATTTATTTTACAAAAAAAATTATATCAAAAAATCAGATTTTTTCCCATTTATAAATAGACATCAATGAAGGATATGTTTACTCACTTTGAAATTTAGCACTTCTTTCCCTCTTGCATCTGGTTTTATCTGTTTAGATTATTTTTTCTCCCTAAAAATGGATCCAAACCGTTCTCCCCCTAGATACTACACCAATAGCCCCCCATTCCAAAGAATTCCTCGTTCTGCACAACAATCTTCTGTAAGAAATTTTCAAATTGATCCTACTCACCCAAATCTGATCTGTCTGAACTGGTATAGTAAACGTCTAGTCTCTGTGTATTTTATAATTACAGAAGTCAGGTCTGGTCTGTCTGATCTGGTCAGGTTTGGTCTGGGGCTGAAAAACAGTCCAAAAAAAAATATCTCAAATAAATTAATAAAGGTGAGATATATTAAAATAATGAGAGAGAGTGTAAAAATTAAAATGTGACCTAGGTCACCATAGTGGGGAGAAATTGTGATAGGTTAAAGGGGATTAAGTTTTTAGAGAAAAATGATGTGGAAGAGAGAGATGGGGATCAAAATCCACCACCATTGTGAGTGATATGTTTTTTTTAAATCAATCTCGTGTGTGGGGCAAATACTCTATATAATTTAGTTATGAAGATTATTTTAAAAATATTACTAGTATAAAAAAATACTCCGTAAAACTTACTATTTACAAAAAAATATCACTAATATATATTACCAAAATAAAACTTAATATATGTACTATTTACTCAAAATATTACTCTAATAGTTACTATTCTCCGTGGCATAACACTATAATGTCATGATCAAGGTCACTATAGTCTTGTAAAAATTGGTCATAAGTTATATTAATATAGCCAATATTACTATTAGAATCAATATTACATTTTTCTAAATAATCTTTAATTTTATCCTAATAATTTCTGAGGCAGGGACTCCTAAATGTGACAAGAGAGGGTAAGGTGGAATTGCTGACGGACGAGGCGGATGGAGTAAAGTTCAAACTAACGGACGATGTAGCTGTTGCAGAGGATGGCATAATCTATTTCACGGATGCATCCTGGAAATACAGTCTTAAGGATTTTGCTTTTGATTTTCTTGACGGAAGACCCTACGGCAGATTTCTAAGTTATGATCCCAGCACAAAGCACACCAAAGTGCTAGCCAAGGATCTGTTCTTTGCCAATGGTGTTGTTGTCTCTCCAGACCAGAGCTTTGTCATTTTTTGCGAAACTCCGTTGTAAGTATGCTATTCATCTATGTGGGGGGGTATGATGGGGTACTGGGTACTATGTTGGAGGATGCTAGGGATGAAGAAATCTCATATATTAAGTATTAACCTATATTTCTCATTGGGTGATATCGATAGAGGTAGGGGTGAACGGGTTGTGTAACTTGTAACTGGAACTGGATCAAGGCCAGTTTAGGCGGTTTCGTAAGAAGACCGGCCCTTGGGTTCACGGGGACCAGTCCTGAACTGCGGTTGTTGGGATCGGGAGCGGTTGGTCTGATTCCGTTTTAATCTACTTCTTTTGTATTTGAAGCATTATTGGAAGCATTTCAAAAGTGATGTAAATCCATTTATAAAACATACGGAGTAGATAGTATTCGTGTAGAATCCAAACAAAAATTAGAACTGGGACCGCAACAGGAGTAATATAACCGGCCCGAAAGTAGAATCGAGACCAGTTCACACTACTTCACGCCTAGATATAGGGAGTAAACTAGTACTAGTATTTTTGTCTAAATTTAAATTAGCTATAACAGAACAAGACAAATATGGGTTAAGATTACTCTTCAATCAGAATATTAGTCCGTATAATTAATGACATTTCAGTTAAGTTTAATAAAAAAAAAAGGATGACACCCCATCCCTGAGTGCCCCCCAACACCGACCGGACGACACGATGGGAGGATGTAAATTGGACTATAATCACAATCTGACAGATAGGGAGTGGGGCTCTGTCCCCGGTACTTGCAGAGGCCCTATGCATTTTTCAGCATAGTAACCCCTCATTGCAGTTGCCGGGATTCGAACCCGAGACCTAACCCTTGTGACACTCCCTTGCTACCAGTTGAGCTACGCCCACCGGTAAAACTAAGGTATGGGTAAACTTTTTATAGTGACTAGCTCCACCGCTTTCACGGCCCCTTACCCCAGAAACCCAACTTTGGCTTGGCCCTACGGGTTAGTATACACCGCTTGGCCCTACCACTTGAAGGGTTTTTTGGGGGAGCATAGTTCCACTGGTGCTAGTGGGACTCGAACACGAGACCTCTCCTATGCAAGGATAACCTCACAACCAGCTAGGCTGGAAGTGATGGTTAATTGAAGAGTAGCTAACATGTATGGGGTGTATAGTACAAGAAATGTTAAAAGTTCAGGTGTATTCAATGTAAATTTTTAAAAGTCTAAAATTATACATGTGTTTAATGTAGATTTTTAAAAGTCTAAAATGCCTACTCAGATCACTAGTATAAAAAAGTGTCTATTTTAGCATTCATTTTATAACATCGTAGAAATTGTTACAATATACAGAGTAATATCTATTGTAACATTAATGTACCAAGAAATGTTATAATAAAACCATAAATTGCTACAATATATCTAGTGTAACACCAGTCAAATACAACACACTAAAAAATGCTACATTTGATTAATTGTGACATTTTTTACATCTACGGTAACATTTTGCATATATGTTATTAAAGCAATACGGAGCACTTGGTTTGTTGTAGTGACTTTCTAAATTAAATGAAATATTGGCATTGTTATTCTTACCAAATCGTGAAAATCTTTTAACATTTTTGTGTAAATAAAAGTAGAGCACCGACATATGTAGTGATATTGGCGGACATTCCCATTGTGTAGGAGGAGGTGCAAAAGGTTATACCTGAAAGGGGAAAGGAAGGGAAGTGTGGATGTTTTCGTTGAGGACTTGCCAGGGATGCCCGACAACATTCGATATGATGGAGAAGGTCACTTCTGGATTGCACTTGTCACAGTAAGCTTTCTAGTTCTACTCTCCCCATTTAATACCCCTTTTATTGAATTGGAAACTTATATTGGACTTGATTAGAATCATCTAAAACTAATTATTCACGCTTAATTATAAATTAAAATTACGTATTTTTAAAAACGATATGATAAAAGTTATAGGAAATCTAGTCATTAAAAATGTTTTGTTCTCGAACGAAAGTTGTTATGATCAGTTAAAGACTAAAAACGAAATCAGCACACATTGCTACGATGAAAAATAAATACAAAAATTGTAGGTTCGTAAAATTAGTAACATAATTTTTGTAGGGATTCAAACATATTCAATCTTAGGATCTTTTTAATTTGATTGAAATTTTCTGGTCTAGTCTGATGTTGTATGATTTGGTCTGATCTGATCGGTCCTGATAAATATAATGTTTGGTCTATGTGTATTTTATAATTGTCGAAGTCTAGTATGATTTGATCTATTCTGATCTAATCTAGTGAAGTTTAGAAAAATGATAAACAATATAATGAGACATGAAAGTATGAAATTCATGGAGTTCACAAATCAATCATACCTTATTACAAATATATATATGCAGGACTTCACATTGAGTTGGGAGCTTGCACAAAAGCATCCATTTATGAGGAAACTTTTGGGATTGATGGAGAGGTATGGAAGGAGACCGGAAATGGAGAAGGATGGGGGAGTTTTTGTGGTCGACTTGGAAGGCAATCCGGTGGCTCACTACAATGATCGTCATTCCTCACTCGTCTCAACCGGAATCAAGATTGATAATTATTTGTATTGTGGTTTTGTAACGTCTAATTTCATATTCAGGCTCAATCTCACTCAAAATCTGGTAGTTTCAAGTTGATGATGCCATCGGGCCAGAGCCGGAACTATGAACTATGAAGTGCCGTTAAATATTTATTTAAGTATTAGAGAAACAATGTTATTACTTGGACAATATACACAAATGTACTTATTGGGCATTTAAGGCTTGATGGGTAGTTTGCACATTAATTTGGCTCACAAAATGGTGCATGCAAATTTAGAGAAATAATTAGTGTGCATTTAAAATAAAAGCACATTGTTTTGTTATATGTGTAATTTATTTTTAAATTACACACAAGGTCATTAGTCATTACAACATTCTATAAAAGCATATAAGATATTTTACATGGTATAATGAGAAACATTTTAAAAAGTATTTAAAGTTTATTCAAAAGAATAAACCAAACGATGTAACATAGTACGGAGTATTTATTGTGCATCATATCTTGTAAACGCCCTCTTAGAGTAAGTGTGATTAGATCAAAACAGTTATGAAATTTAAGATTAAATGGACTAATCTAATTTTAAAAAAAAAAGATTAAATGGACTAATGAGAAAGAAAACTGATTTTCTTTGTATATCCTTCTAAAACGAGGTAAGGGTCAGATTGGTACTCGAACTTGCATATAGGAGGCTCTTTCCGGCCGTCGCCATTTAGGGCGGTTCCTGGTGGAATTTTTTGACAAAATTTTTTTAACATCTTATTCATTAAGTCTAGTTTACTCATGCCAAATTTCAGCTAAAAATTCAATCGGGAAGGCATCCAAATGAATTCTTGAAGATAACTGTGCAGTTAAAAGTGCAGTTATCTTCAAGACTTCATTTGAATGTTTTCCCGATTGAATTGTTAGCTGAAATTTGATATGAGTAAACTAAACTTAATGAATAAGATGTACAAAACTTTTCATCAAAAAATTCCACCGGGAACCGCCTCAAATGGCGACGACTGGACTGTAAGGACTTAATTGACCCTTTTTATGCAACTTCGAGTACCAATCTGACCCTGACCTCCTTCTAAAACTATTATGTAGTATAAGAGTAATATTACTCAGTATAATATCAACATTTTTATTGTGATGAGACTCCAATCTGTGACCTTTTATTTGGGAGAAGGATACTAATGGCATCATACTAAAAAGTACTCCGTGTACAGAAATAAAAACAAAAAGAGAAAAAGAGGGAAAAATAGTTTTTCTATTTAGAGTTGTGTGTATCATTGAGCTACACGTTTAAAAAACAATACAAAAGTGATATATTAGCTAGGTGATATATTTAAATGCGACTTTCTTGTGCGGCTTTCGTCTGTCTTTTGTAAGACTCTCTTCTTCGGCAGGCCGCAGCGCCTATATGACAGCCAAAGGTTGTGTACCCCTAGCAGCATGTCATGGGCGAAGTGTGGAGCTGGGGGCTAGAACAAATCTGGACCGGATGCAAGGAGCGGAAGAAGCTACAGTATTGTTGGACCGTCCCCCTCCTGAACCGCCGCCATGGAGTGCAGGAGAGTTTAGTGTATGGAAGTATTATTTTAATTTTACTGTTTGTTTGCTATTTATTTTTCATGAAGATCTACTTTAATCGTCGCTGGCTCATTTATGCTCATTATAGGATCAGCGAGTTATATTGCTTTTTTGAGATGATTGACTCTAATTTTGATTCGAATGTTGACGGTTGTCTGTGGTCCTTTTATCATTTTACTCCTTATCTGAATATCGTGGTATCAATTTAAGTCATTCGTTTGACGATAAAAAAAATATGACACACTTTATAGTTTTCAATTTTTTGTTCACAAATATGAGCCAAAATAAAATAATGTCACGAAATCAAAATTATATCAATGTAATTTGGAACTGGAACTAAACACTATTTATTTTATTAATTATTGATAATCATTTACATCTCAATTTTACATGGATAATATTTTAAAAATGAATCCGAAAGCATTATAACTAATTGAACAAATGTACACACTAGTAGTCTAGTACACTACTATACATAAAATTATGAAAAATGGAGAAAAGAGTCCAATAAATCAATTCTCAATCCATCACTTAAGACCATTTATTAATATGATTACTTAAAAAAACAATCAATTAACTTATACATTAAATATAAATCAATATGAATTGTAATAAGATTAATCAATTGCTATAATTAACTTTTTAAAATAACCTGCTACAGCATGTTAAAATGATTTTATTGAATGTGTTTTTTATGATACTTTTGTTAACATAACTACATAAGGACTTTAGTGATAGATTAAAAATAGTAAGTAAAGGGATCTGTTTAACTCTTTTTCTTTAAAAATGTGAAGGGTCAAGGCCCCTCCAAGGGTAGGGTGGATCTGTCCCGGCCTGAATGCATGACTGAGAATAATAATCACATTGCATCACTTACCGTCCCGTTATAGTCATGTACTCATGTCCTTGATAAAATAAAGAAAACATGAAACAGCTATATATGATAACTAGATTCTTACAAAGGGCAACATATCCAAAAACACAAACTTCCTTTTTATGAGTCATATACTCCTAGAAAGGGGTTGTGTAAAATTACTACTTATCAATAACATATTACTTCTAATGCAATATCCCGAAGTAATAATTTATTAATTTAACACCATAAATTTGCCAAAAGTGCAACAAACTTGAAATAATTGAACACAATAAATATGAAGAAAGTGCAACACAGTTGATTTTCACATGTGTAGACAAAACAGTTATATCCCTGAACAAGAGCCATCCGGTTAACATTCGTTTGTGGTATTCTAGTCTTGAAGAATGACATTAATGAATTAGAAGGCAAAAAACTGGAATGCCTATAGCGCACTCTTTACAATGGGGAAAATTATTCATTTAAAAAGCAACAAACAAAGAGGTAGTTTGTGTGAAAGCAAAAACAAAACGACAGCGGAAAGGAATCAATCAAAGCCAGATGAAATTTATTGAGAAGAAAAGATTGGGGAGCCTGTCTGAATTTGACCTCAATAATAAATGAATGATTCTCCAAGACCAGAGAGTTTAGTCAAGAGCAGCTATAACAGCATCCACCACCTCTTGGGTTGTACTGTGTCCTCCCAAGTCCTTTGTCCTGTACTTGCCTTCTGCAATCACATGCTTCACTGCAGTTTCTAAACGGTCAGCAAATGATGGAAACTGGAGATGTCTTAACATCATTGCTGATGAGAGGAGAACAGCCACCGGGTTCGCCCTTTTCTGCTCCACTTGTTTTTGGTTGCCCACATTTCCAGCTGAGGCACCTTGCTCGAAGACTGCAGTATCAGCCCCCACATTACCTGGAGATAAAATAAATCATAATCAAGTTTCTATTACACACATCTATGGTAGCAGTGTTGTTGTAGTGGATCACATCTTGGCAAGTTTGAATCATAAATAGGTCAGAATTTGTTTTTCCCCAGTATTTGGCAAGTAGTTGAAAATTTTGTGTTTTCTAGTTCTTCTCTGTGATGAGTAAATGAAGCATTACCTCAAATATACTCCCTCCATACCCAAAAAAAATGTTTCAAAAGTTTTGTCTAAAAAAGAAGTAACATTAAACAGAATGAGACTATTTTTTCATGAGAATCCCTTCCCCCTCAAAAGGCTACAAACCAGTTCAGTATGATAAAATTTAGGATTATTAGCTTATTTTATCCCAAACTATTATCAAATTCACAAATCAATCCTACACTTTCATTTTTATCAAAAAAAGACTCAAACTTCATGTTTTTCAACAATTATGCTTTTCTTTTTTGTTTTTTACAAAATTACACATTTTTTCAATACCAATAAGATATAAGCAATACAATTTTGTAAACTTAAAACTAAAAAGAAGTGAAAAAATATGAAATATAAATATAATTTTCTTCTTAATTTTAATTAATTCATCCATTGAAAGTGTAATTGTGAGAAACGTTAATGTTTGAGTCTTTTTTTAATAAAAGTGAAAGTATGGGATAAATTTGTGAATTTCATGATAGTTAGGGATATATTTAGCTAATAATCCTAAAATTTAGCCAAATCAAAAAAATAAAAATTTCCAAAATAAGTTGAATGCAATAAATTATAAGAGTTGTACACTCGTACCTTGTTAAATATTAAAAGTTGTAAATTGACCAAAACCATGTTACATGAGTCAAAAACCAATTCCATCAATTCTATTCACAAAGCAATCAAATACCACCAGTCCACCAAATAATGTGATATAATCCAACAGAATAAACAGAGACAGCGAATTGAGAGGATCCCATGGCATTACATTGGCATTGTGAAACATGATAAGAAGAGACTAGCAATGCAAGGTACGCAGGAGAACAGTTTTAGTAAATGATTTACTGAATCTCTCTCCCTACACACACACACACATATAGGGTTAAGATCGGATACAAAGTATGCTTCCCATACAAAATGCAAAATCATCTCATCCGTTGAATCTTACAAAATCAAGGGTAAGTTTTTTTTATAGCACTAATACACAACCCTATTAGTGGGGGAATTATTTATCCTCTATCCACAACTTACGGACAAGCACTTAGTGGAGCAGTTATAGCATCTCACCGTTATCTAATTAATATGAACGGCTAGGATTAGTTTGCACTTTGTAAATTAGGATTAGTTTGTATGTGATCCTAAATCTATATATATATATATATATATATATATATATATATATGTATATGTATGTGTGTGTATATATATATATATATGTATATATAAATATATATATACACACACACACATGCATACAAACATACACACTATATATACAAATACATACATATGTGTGTCTGTACTGCAGGGCATTTGAATCGAGGCCTGTGTAAATAAAAAGGTTTATATATGTGTATCATTATACATTAATTAATGATAAACCACATACAGTAAATAAGTCCTCAATTTACATGTAAGTGTGTGTAGTGTATTCAAAGTTGGAGCTTAAATGAATCTAAACTCCGGGCATAAATCAATTAAAATCATTACTATCAATATTAATAAACAGTACACCAATGCAATTAAATTGCTCAATTTACACGTGTGTGTAAGGCTAAGCATAGTCAAAGTTGAAGATTAAATGAATCTGACCTCCGGGCATAACTCCAGTCCCACCAGCAATACCAGCAGCTGTATTTGCAACCAGATTTCCATAAAGATTGGGAGTCACCTACAAACAGTAAATGACATTAATTAAAAATCCCCCACAAAAAAGGAAGGAGGGAATGGTGAAAGCAGAGGTAACAGAGCACAAGGTCAGATAAACTGTGTAACATATCAACTGCATAAATGCATGCACTCATTACTCAAAATCCCACTTTATCCTTTTTAAAATTCAGCTTTTTCCAAATATCATATGTTCCTATGCATATACCAGTGTCACAACGTATGTAATGTTACTCAGAACACATCAGATAGGAGGTAGTATACTGTATACATGCAGTAAACAACTAAGTTAGACAAATTTCCCGTTTCTCAATTCTTGCGGTCGACTGAAGAAAGCATGGCTATGCAAAAGTTATATGTGTCAGCACATGAGATCTGCAGCACTGTAATCCAAGTGGAAGTTTTTTATTGAAGAGCCACAACTACAAGTCCATCTTTCCCTCAACTCTTGTTTTTAATGTGGAAAACCTCTCTTTCCTTACTACAAGTCTT